TTGTAAATAAACAGCTGATCAACAGCACATCATTTAACTCATCATCTCTAGAAATATGAGAACAATCCTGTTGAAATTAACAGAGTAAGTTGTACATCTTCAGGTCTTTGAAGCTCCCCATAGAATTGTGGGGGAAAACAAACAAATATTTTTTAGCCTACAAGAAAGAAAACTAGAGACATGTTTGTGGGGCTTTTTTATCATTCCTTAGCATGGACAAGGCTGATGACTGTGTTGATAATCACTGGCAAACACCACCAGAACAGACACCGAAACAGTAACCTGGCATTATGCTAAGCAGCTTTCTGTTCCTGTAGTCATTTGCATAAAACATTAACTGAAATCAGGATCTTTACTGATCTCTAGTGAATCAACAGCACTCAGAACCTTGACTTTGCTGCCCTTGACAAATTTCAAAAGGTATAATAGATACTGTATATTTTCTTTTTCTTCTTTTTTCTTAAACCCTTTTTTTTGTGTGGTGAGAAAGAATGGACACAATTAATTGCATGGGTACTGTATACTAGAGGTTGATGGAGCAATTTATATGTAGATATTTTGAAATCCCTGCAGAGAAGCTGTACTATTGCACTTCAATAGAAAACAAAGACCAGCACAAGAACTGGTAATTAAAGAAACTGAAAAAATGAAACCTGTATTATCTCTTTCTGCAAATTGTATTTTATTTGTGCTTCTAAGAGAAATACTTAATACTTCTAAGAATGGGATTATGGATATAACTAGGAATAAGAAAAAAAAATAAATGTTTCCCAGTTCCATTAGTTCTCCCCCTTTCCCCCATGCAGGCATATATCAAACATCAGGAAAGATCTCATGAAGAGTCTTGAAAAAGATTGAGAAGCAGAAAGCATTTTATTCCATCCTCCATAAAGTTGAACATGATGTAAGAGGTGATAAAATGGGATTTCTAAGAACTTAGCGATGCCACCCACTTCGCAGGGTTACAGAGAAGCAACCAGGGTGACTCTGGATTTTGATATTGATCAGTTTAATGACTGCACCAAGAAATTGCTCTCCCTATGTAATGCCTTCCATGAGGGCATCATTAAACTCACTGTGACCCTTTCTGTATTACCCTTTTGTTTCTTCTGCACAGTACAAATACCTAATAATTTATAGCACTGAAAGGTACACAGCCGAAGAACACTGAAATCATAGTTAAAAGAACAGCAGTGAGAAATGCCAGGGTAATTATAATTTCTGCACATTCCTTCCAGTTCCTTGTGTATTTCTTAAAGGTGTTTAACAATCATACGATGTCTCCTGTATCCCTGTCTCTTTAAAATATTTTTATTGAAGTGGTATGTAAATATAGACTTTATTTTTTAAAATTTCTGTTATAGAGGCAAATTATGCCTTATTTGTGTGATTTAGATAGTTACAAATGAACAAAAGCAGAACACTCTCCTTATTAAAACTCAAATATTTTGCAAAAAAACCTATGAAATATGTATTCAATGGCATTGTTGCCAAATCTTTCTGTCTGAATTTCACACTTTCATTACCAGAAATGCGTAAGTGAATGCTGGGGTCTGATATGTTGTATCCCACTCCGTACTGCTCATGAGTTCAATTATCTTTTATAAAGTATGAAAGATGAAGTTCATTTTTTTTTTTCAACAGCATTGAGATTTTACAGATTCAGGTTTTCATTTATTGAATTCTACCACAACAGAGAAGACACAGACTACAGAAATACAGAAAATTCTATCAATTGCCATTAAGAAAACAAATCTGACAGTAGGCAAAAAGGACTAAAAATCCTATCAACAGAGGTAAAGCCATTTGGCAAATTTGTTTTATATAGTAAGACAATTCAAGAGCAGAAAGCTAAATCATGTGTGTAGGTTCAGTTCAGCCAAGTATCTGCCATAACTCAGAGCACATACACCTTGATAAACAATGAATTATAGCCAAGCAGAACAGTCACACCTTTCCAAACTGCCTGAAACCCAGACTGCATTTCTCTGAACTTAGGGAGCAGAGGAGTGTGTACAGTGGCTTTTTAATCTTTCATATGCTCCCATTACAGACGCTGGAAAGGGCTGACATCCCAACTACTAGTAAGCAGTCCAAAGCTATCATGGTGTGCTAGCACACTAAGGACATCTTTCTCTGAGCCACTCATCTCTATGCATGTAAGTGCTAGTTACTTCTGGCATCAGGAAACAAACAGAATAAATGCTGCTCATCTGAAAATACAGATGCTTTGCATCATTTCTACAGTCTCCTTACAAATTCATTGTTACCTAAAGTGCTTCCTCCTGCCTTCTCAGCTGCAGTTCCCCATATTTTTTTAAACTCAATTCTCTGTATGCAATAAAACTACAAAGAGTGCACTTGTTTTTTAAAATACTCCTCTTAACAGATGTACAACTGTACTATCATCCACAGCTAAGTCACTTTTGAATACATTTTACTTTCAAGAACACTCACAAAAAACAACTGATGAAATGAAGTAAAGGTATGAATTTATGCTTTTCTAAGAAGAATGTATGTTCTTATCCAGAATTAGTCTCATTTCAATTAGCATTTATTTCCCTTTCAAAAATATTTTTTTTTAAATTTTCATTTTTCAGCCACCAATCATTGAATTATACTTTTATTTTCCTCCTTCTGCTGTTTTTCTTCCTTAACCCATAAAATGAAAAACTGGCACCTCAACCTGAATATACAAGTCTTGCTGCAAAACCAGAAAATATCATTGTTCTTGAATGACCATTCAAGTTCAATACTGCTCCTTCTACTCATGATGTGTTGTACATCAAAGGCACATCATTCAACAAGGTTAATACAATTAAACAAAAAAGAAAATTAACTTAATCTTTGTCTCTTTCCCAGAATTTCTGTGTGCATAAAAAACCACCATTAAATCCAGGTGACTCTACTCCTGAATTGTATTTCAAAAGCTCATTTAATCACTCCAATCAACTAAGTTTTTTTGTCAACATTGTTTTCCTCTCTTTTTTAAACTATATCTCAAATTAGGGAGTAGATGCAGATTTAAAATAACCTTTGAAGATAAGACGACTTTCCAGCTTGACCATACCAAAACAAATCAAATTCCAAATAATCTCTTTCCTGCTTTATTTTCCATGACTCTGTTTTTTATCTAGCTGTTCCTGCTAAAATTGAATTTTAGATCAGTAAGCAAAAAGAAATAAAGGGAACTGCCAAGGTCAGCCTGCTTGTCAGACCATGGAGCTATTGAAATTCAGTGTTCCTCCTCAAGATTAAAAAAATAATAAAAATCCTACTGATTACATGTAACACTATTCTCCTCTTACAAGACAGAAGAATCAAGACATTGCTTCAGCAGCATATGTGATGTTGAAAGTAGGGAAAGATAACCAGAAAAGTCTTCTTTGAGATGCAGTAGTTATTTTCTGTTGACTCCATTAAAGCCAGTCTCAAACTAAACCAGTGGTCTCTGCTTCTACACAGACCTCAGCCCTCAAAGAACTTGCTAACACTTCTGAACCTTTATCAAACCTTCTGTGCAAGGCCATTAAAACAATTTCTGAGATCCTGGGGTTTTGTTTCTCAGCCCACAGTATCAGTGAGTACTTTGCCATCAAGTTCTGTACTTACAGGATTGCACCTAGTCCACACACTGGATAGACTTACTTTCTTCTGAACTAGTCACGATAAAAAAATATTTCTTGAAAACTGAAGGGAGATGCCCAAAAAAGGTACTATGAACTATGGAAAAAAGGATGTATGTATGAAAAAATTCAAGTTAAAAATATTTGCTTTGCTTAGCACAGATCAGAAGATCTTAGCCTGTTCCATTTGATGTGGTGCTAGGACCATTCTATCTCTATCCTCCAACTCTGAACGTACCCATGAGCTCTCCATGGACTCACAGATTTCCTTCAGCCTAAAATTAACTACTTTGAGTCTGGCTTACTATACACTGTACCTTAAACAATCATCTACCCTGACAAAAAAGTTATCCTTCCCTCAAAGGTGCAATATTTAACCTTTAAAGTATTGGCAAACAGTACATAAATAAATAGTGATAGGACATGGGCTAATGGTTTTAAACTGAGAGAGGGGAGATTTAGGTTAGATACTGGGAAGAAACTCTTCCCTATAAGGGTGGTGAGGAACTGGAATGGGTTGCCCAGGGAGGTTGTTGATGCCTCATCCCTGGAGTTTTTTAGGGGCAGGTTGGATGGAGTTTTGAGCAGCCTGGTCTAGTGGTAGGGATCCCTGCTCATGGCAGGGGGGTTGGAACTTGATGATCTTTGAGGTCCCTTCCAACCTTAATGATTCTATGGTTCTATGATTCTAAATGATGATGGAATGAGAAAACCCAAGTTATGGATTGCTCTGAGTATAACACATCAAAATCTCCATAACTAAGATTTCTTATTAGTTTTAAAATAAATAGCTTGACCATTCTGCTCAGTAATCAAGGTATTTGAACTATTTTTTCCAATATTTACACTAATTGTACATTTATATTAATATCAAGCATTATAAAAATTTCAATAAAGTGAAGAAAATGACAGAAAGACAATAAACACATCTATTTCTGAATTAATTTTGCACAAAAATGATGAATGGATTCTATAGATATTTGTTACCACTGTTCTGCTATAGGTTATAAGCTTTGTATTTTCAAATACATTATGTATTCAGCTGTTTTCCCTTTACAGGTAATACTCTGGATGAGACACACACATAAGAACAAGTCTAATTTGAATGTTGATACTACATTTCCCTGGAGCATCTTTGCTGCTTCCTATCTGAGTGGGGTTTTTAGTTAGGGTTTGTCAATGACTTATTTTGACATATTTCTAAATTATATAATATGCAAAGCAATAAACATGAAAAGATACAGCACATGCAGCATAATACTAAGTATTTGATAAATTCTCTAGTTACTACTTAGTACCTATGTTTTTCCACTACCTTATGGTGATAAGCCCCTTTGTTATTCTTAAGGAAAAAAAAAATCAAGGCAAACTTACTTGATATAATAGGGCACTTTGTTATGTGAAACAGATCTCTGCCATGGAAACTGTACTGAGGCTGAGGAAATAAAGAGAAGGTAATTATTAGAAAGCATCTGCCAAAAAAATCCAACTGTCTTTATTTTATTTATTTTACAATTAAAGCAGCTATAATAAATTAAATGGAAACAAATTTTCCCAGACAGCTTCTAGTAATTAGAAAAACAGCTGGAGAAAATGACAACAATCTATCAAGATGATACTAGGCATCTATTTAATGCTGGGAAAAAAACACAACCCTAATGTGGTGATTCTACTTCAAAGAAAGATAATAAATTCTGAGCAAGAATGCTATCCATCCAGGTGAAATGGAGACACTGGTTTTCCTACCTCCATAGAATTATTATCAGTTCAAGCTTTGAAAATAAATGCTTCCACTACTCTAATTAATGCTCCACAACAGAACAAAACAGAGAAATATAAATCTTATTTTTATTAGTTGCAACTCTTAGCTCCTACTTCCAACTCAAATTAATATTGATTAACACTCTGTGACCCACAGAAAGGCATTAAAAATTGCCTTTGCACTCGCTGCTGAACAGAGCAATCTGTGCAGAATTTATGCAAGTATGACACATCAACAGATATCATCCATAACATCAAGAAGCCTCCTGCACACTGAGTTGCAAAAGGCATGAAATCATACATGACATTACAACTCTGCTTATGTAAAGACACCAGGAGATAAAACAGGAAAAAACATTTAGGCCAACAGGACTGCTGGTGCACAACTTCAAAGCAGCAATTTACTGAAGAACCATAGGTACATATACATACTGCCAGAAATTCCCAGACTAGTGCCTGGTTAATTAGGGTTTTATCACAGAATAAACTCAATTCACTAGATTCACTGTAGAAGCAGAGATTGAAAGAACAGGTAGAAATAACTGAGCATCACAAAGGGATGAATTTGTAATGTACACTTGCTGACACTTCCAAAACAGACTGCCTACTCTTAGGTGCTAACACCCTTGTTTAAAAACCTGGTAAAATAAGACATAGCTTTGATCCACATTGGATCTCTTAGTAATTAAAGTCTCAATTAATGTAATTTTCTACAAGCACAGGCTTCTTTAGAGCTCATCCTTCTTTGCAAAAAAAAAAATCAATTTGAAAGTAACTCTCTCCTCTTCCCCTAAGACCTCTAAGGCTGCATCAAAGACTCAGCAGTTTTGTAAGCCTCACAGGCTGGTGTTGCTGCAGAGAGAGAGGCAGGTCTTGCCCTGCTCACAGCTGGCTGTTCCCTGAACAGTTTAATAATTGTGACCTCTTCATGGACCTCACAAAATTTCATGGCTTATAATTTAACAACCATTCATATATTGAAAAGACAGATTAAGGAAGATTAGGAAGAATATTTGGGAAGCTACAGGAACCAAATAAACCACATTATTCACTGGAAAACATAGAGAAAATTCCATATAACTATTTAAAAAATAAAAGAACATTTGCAATAACTGGGTAGGTAGTCACCTGGCAAAGAAAAAGCATAGCAAAGGCTAAATACTCAGATGTAGATAACTAAATATTCTTTAGTATTGCAATTTGGCACCCATGATGGCTCTGGTATTACTACACTAATTATGTCAGCTAACTGAAGAAAAATTGGCCACAATTTGCTTAGGTACGATTTATGTGCTATTACAGACTACAGGTACTCTGCACTGACACAGACATTGACTAAACAACAAAATAAATTAAATTGTTAATTATTACAGAAAAAATCATACTCTGTTTATCTGGGAACAATCTTTTGCTCTCTTATTACAGAGGAGATTGTACAATTACATGGATAAAATGATCACTAAATAGAAAAGATGCAAGTACGGGTCTCAAGATGAAGTGATGCAGGTTTGCTTTCCCCACTCCTTTATTAGAATTTCCAGGAATGTATGACATTCATTACCAACACCTAAAGATTCTAGATCAGCCACAGCTCTGACTTTGGAGCAAACAGAGGACAAAGAATGAAGGAACCACAGGCACAACCATAACTCAGTAAAATATTGCAGTGATCCTGAGGGGAAGCTGAAGATGAAACATCCCTATAAAAACAAGGAGGTAGATAACACAGAACAGTAATTTCCTGTTCCTCAAGCCACAGGTAAAAATGGAGCAAAGAGCAGTCAGTGTTTGAGAAAGCAGTTGTATCTCACATGCATCTATCAATTCAAATAACTTACTGGAAAGAAAGTGCTGTGATGCAGGTCCAAAATCTCGGTGTGCCTCCTGTAACTGTTTAAGGCGATCCTCTACAGACACCTACACGTAAACACACATACACAAAATTCACATTGCATTTTCTCTGTAACACCAGGTCCATGACAATAAACCCAATTGTTTACATTCATTTTTAGTTCACTGAATTTCAGTTGTCTATGTGTCATAGCACTTATTTGACACCCAGCTACTGAAGGATACTGTTTTGATTTATAAAAGTCATAGAATTACAGAATTATTTGGGCTGGAAGGGAACTTAAAGATCACCTAGTTCCAAGCCCCCTGCATGGGCAGGGACACCTCCCACTGGATGAGGCCCTGGATACTTCCGGGGAGGCTTTGACAATTCTTGAAGTGTTCCTTATTATCTTTGTTCCTTTCTGAAATAAATTACTTGGATACCTGCAGTGTTCTCATGAGTACTGCAGACGAATAACGAACAATAGTCATTTCATGATGACCATAGTTGACAGCTGAAGTTTCTGACCTCACAACCTTTCCCTTATCCATATTTCCATAGTCAGCAGGTCTGACTGACTGTATTGATCTCTCAGCTGTCTTTCCAGTATGGAACCATTTTGGAAGATACTGCTTCACTGGCTGACATGATTCGACTGGTTTATTAACTGAAACTGCATTAGCACACCCAGCAGCAGTCTGAAGTTTGGCTGCTTAGTTCTCTCAATTTGAGAGGAGTGCAGAAAATAAAACAAAAAAACAACCTACTACCAAATTACATTAGGAAAGGGAAGGACCAATATGACTCATTAATAGTTGCTCCTGAGGGACAAAACTAAGTCAAAGCTACTAGCCCAGAAGCTGATGTCCAGGATTTGAAAAGTCAGTCCCACTACCCCCAGGGGTGACATCCTCCATCCTTCCCTCAGTTCTTTCAGACATTCAATATCACCAATAGAAACCAGGTCAAGAAATAAATAGTAGCTGAATCCAAATAAGCATTTCCTAGAGGAAAATTAGAGTGAGAAAGTGCAAAAAAAAAAAAAGATAAATGAACTTTAACTGATGTAAGAAACTTTATTAAACTATTTACTGTGAAAATGTGCATGAGCTTGAACTGTAATCAGTCACATTGATTTACATTTCTCAGACCATTTAAGTACAATAACAATAACTAAGCAGTATTAATCTCTCTCACAGCATACCCTCTTCTGTTGTATAACACTAAACCTGCTATTGCTCACACCTTGTTATAGCACTACTAATACTTCAGTCACTTTAACTGAAATTCCCTGCAGAAACTGAACATTCAAAACCAAAACAAAACAGCTTTCACAAGAAACTGGAAACACAACAGAAATAAGTACACCAGTTTTCAGTAACAATGATTCATGTAGTAAAAATACTGCTATAAGACATAAAAAAAGCATGCAGCAGTAGTTCCCACTAGTCTCCAGAGATTAATGCAGATTACTCCTGAATGAGTAAACCGCTGAGACAGCTTGACAGGAGTTTTTGGTCAAGCCACATAAGGAAAGACAGCTCTCTTGCTTGCTTTGGTACTACTAAAGTAATACCTTAAAGACAGAAATAATGAACAAATGGCAATAATGCGTCTTTGAAGAGAACAAAAAGGAGTGAGAAGCATTCCTCTCCCCCCCACCACCTACTGCACACATTCAGAAGAATACCTGTAAAAGTTTCCAACGCATATTAAGATCATCCAATTGACGAGACATCTTTAGTGATGGGTAAAGATCAAGTGGAGACAGCTGACTGGACAAATCATTCACTGTTTTGACTTTCAGGTTGATGGGAGCAATTTCTTCTCTAAAAGCCTAGAAGAGTAAGAAGCATATATCTTTTTTTAATGGACATCTGAGTAGCACAAAAGCCAATGTAAACTCAACGTGGTGATGACTGGCTCAATGGGGAGGCTTAACTTTAACAACTGTAAGCAACTGTGAGTTCTCCAGTAATGACAAGTCCATTCACGTCAATATTTTCAGTAAATCCTTTATATCCATCATTAGAGAAAAACAGTATGAAATTTACCCAAATGCCCATATCCAAGCTGCACCCCTAAATCTATTTCCATAAGGGTTTTAGTGGTGTAATTTGACTTTAGAGCTTTTATTTCAAAAAAGAAATATGCAATGCTCTATCAGGAGCTTTTAACAATATATAACCTGTCTAATGCTCATAAGAAAAAAATGTGTTCAGTAACTACAGTTTTCCAGTATTAAGCAGCTGACAAAAATTCAACTTAAGAACTATTATTGAATCAGTAAAGCATGAAGGAATGTATCTTCTAAGGAAAAGGAGTACTGTGGTTTACCTAATTAGAACAGTAGAGTAAAACTATTACAAAGATTGAAAAAAGAAAAAGGCTGTTGAATCAAATAGAACAGTATTAAGACAAAATTGATGCAAGTTTTAACTACAGTTGAGAAGATGTATCAACTGTCTCTCTTGCTGCGAGCAGTTAATTGTGCAATCATATAAATGGCCTGATAAGACATCACGAAACAAGCTAAAAATAACTGGGGAAAAAAAATACTTGCTTTGGACAATTCAATTATTTACCTCCCTTCAAAATGTCTCTCATTACACCCAGGAACAGAAGGCACCTACTGGCAAGAAGGAAGCATTTGTTTTCTGGACAGGCAGCAGGTCCCTCTTACTTCGGCAGCTGTTTCAGTTTTCCCACAGCAATGAAAATCTAAAAGATTCTACTTTACACTTTTCTTTACAGAAAAAGCCATCAAGACATGACAAATTGCTTCTTAACATTAGACAAAAACACCTATTCAGCATCAGCATCTTCATGCTTGCTTTAGTATCTATATTAAAATGTAGGGGTGGGGGAAGGAAAGGCATTAGTCTTCTCAAATCAACAGTAGTCTGGACATAAATCAGCCTTGACTGCCTTTGTTCTTAAGATTTTGGTTCCATTAAACCTGAAAGTAACAACAAAATTTGAAGAATGAGAATTATTTTATTGATACAAGTGAACTAAGGCAGCCTGTGTTAATTTCAGGTGATTGCACACGTTGCGTATAAATAATTTGGTTGCAGACCAGGGCTCTTCATTCTTCTAACACCAGTGTCCTGTCTGAAGACCTGGATGGCCAGGTACATGACCCCAGGTTTCTCTAATGTTTTGCCATATTAATTCTTGAGTTTGAAAACTAATGAGTTGTGTTTGTGAAACAGAAGATCAGTGATAAACGCTACATTTGCCTGAAACAGCAATTTCCTCTATCTACTTGTGCATACTTACATGTTCTCCTGGAATCCCTGATATCCAGACACTACCCCAAGCACTGTGCTGTTTCCAGTCAGGTTTCCTGGACAATGTGAGCTATTAGAAGGTATTCCTTCTTTGGGAAGCTCTGCATTACTCCAACCTATGCAGCTAAGCAAGGGATGACTACTACCCTTTATGAGCAGCCATGCCTTGGGGTGCTGAGCCCTGCATGGATGCCCTGGGACCCTGGCTGCAAGAGCTGATGTGCCCATGAGAATATTATACATAAGTGTGTGTTCTTCACTTCGAAATAACCCTGAAGAGAAGCCAGGCTAAAGTAAAAGGACACATAAATACTCACTCACACAAGCTAAAATAGATAACAGGTACGTGAAGTTTCTGGAAGTTAAGGAACAGAAGTTGAAACTATGTCTATATTCCTGCGTGACCGAAAGAGCTCTAAATGTTTTTCTAAGAAGAAAGCTATACATGATAGCCCAACAGAGCTGACAGTTCACCACTACAAAAAGGAGGGGTGACTACTGTCAACTGCTGGGATAATAATTGACTCAGCTCACTCATTCTCCAGTGCCTAGGTAAAGCTCCAAACACACCCATGGCCTAACTATGGATTAGATAGTACTTTTAGGAGGAAAATATTTAAATCCTAGAACACCATGTTTTTTTCATTTCCTGAACATTATATTCTGTACACATCTGTAGCTTGCTGATCACATGTGGTTATACAATCACAGTTGACGCAATGAATGTGGCAAAGTATTGGACTTCCTTTGAAATCTCAGATCTAGTCTTTAAAGAGAACTTTAAACCGTACGTAAAAATTTAAGTACACAGTGTATACATTTCTAACATGTCTAGGGGTAGAAGAATGGTGGGGTCTGACTCTCACACAAGTTAGTATTTCCCAGGAGTTCCACACTTACTGTAGTTTTCTCAATGTGGTCTGGTAATGAATCTATGAGCAAGTCTCCCACTGGCTTCCAGGCATTCCTCACGTTTTCAGCCTCCTTCAAGTCAGCGTCGAGGTCATCCATGGCACACTGCAAGTCTTTCAGTTTTTCTAATGCTTTGTCTACTTGCTTCTGCCAGATACTGGCACTGGCATTTAGGTTCTCCCACTTCTCTTTTACCTCTGATGACTGCTTACGCATAGCTTTGGCAACCCTCATGGCTTTCTCCTCAGGAGTCAACTCTGCAGAAGGAAAGAAAAGTTACAGTTTGTTTGTTTGTTTTCTCTTATTCATGTCATTCAACATACAGTGCTTCTGAGGTACAAACTCAAGCAGTAAGTCCAGTCAACTGATGATTTATTGAAGTAGGTACGAGGTAGAAGAAAGCCCACTTTTCCCTAAGTGAAGTAAACCTTAATCACTTCTCATGACAAATAAAGCTTGATCAGAAGACAGGAAACTCTTCCTGACTTCCATGTATTATGATATCCACAATGCAATGGCAGCTTACTGCTGGTTTGTTACTTTTGGAGGTAAAGGAGGAAATAAAAGATTATTCTTCTCTACTGGAAACTGATACAGGGAATTGGGGACCATTTCACGTAGAAAGAAAAAGAACAGTGCTTTATTCCTGGGTCACTTGCCATCACCTATCACTCTACCTCCAGGCTGTCTCCTCTCTTCCTATTCCCTAGCAAAAACCAAGGTCTACTGAGTAACATGTGGCGAGTAGTTCTGCAGATCTGCACATCCATTTTTCTGTGTTAACACCAAAGTCCTAAAAGGCTGTCTTAGACAGCTTTTGAAAGGCTAAAAATGGTCAATGAACATGTCTGAAAAAGAGCCAAACTTATCATGAACTGTTTCTCACAAATTTCAAGTTTACATGTCTAAATTCCATACAATCCATCAACCATGGTAATCCTATTCAGGTTAGTAAAATGTGCCACTGAATAAGCAAAGCCAAAATGGGTGCACACACAACCTCAGGATGTAGTCACAGGAGATTATATTAATATTTCAGTAAAATGCTTATATTTAAATCCCCAGTCCCTGCTAAGTCTGCCAGACACTGGAGAGAACTCCACATCCCAGACATGCCTCAGCCCTCTTTGACAACACAAATTGAATCAGCTGGTGGCTCCACAACATATAATTTCTGCAAACCAGGTGGTCTATCAATAAAAGACTATGCTACCTTTCCTGGGTCTTCAGTTTGAGACTGAGCAAGACCCAGACAGTCAGAAAGTTAAAAAGAAAAACCAAAGACATCCCCACCAGCAGGTCCTGCTGCCATTTGGCAGGGACCTTGCTGAAAAAAGTCATGGGTAGCTTCCATTCACTAGGGAAGTTACTTCAGTAATTACAAACAAACAAAGCCAGTCTCAGAGGACTCCTCCTCTATGTAACAATCTTGTTTTATCTGCAGGCAAAGAACTAAGCAGGGGAAACTTGATATAATGCACAAACCAGAGAACAAAAAAGGGGAAGAGACAGGGTATACACAGAAACTAAGCCAACTGGCCTCCTATTCACTCCTATATGAAACCCTTATAAAAGGTTTATGACAGTATTTTTTGAGATTAAAATTCAAGTGTTGTCTATGAATAAACTATACACAATCAAGCAAAGATGAAAGCAACACCATTTTTGTCAGAATTCAATAGTGATACGCTGTCTTTAAATTCATTATAACTGATTAAGCTTGGAATTGCCAAGTTGGGGGAAGAGGGTGAGAGGGGAACATGCAAAAAATGGGGGGAGGAACCTTTCTGCTTTTCGCAGGCTAGATGACTGTCAAAGTAAATGCACTGTTTTGGTGCAAAAGTTCTTTTACTATGCCTCTGGGCACAGTATTTTCCCATAGCACCCAATATAGGAAAATATATTGCAAGCAATTAATACTAAATGAATCATTAGAACAGATCCACGTTGTTGCGGAGAAAGGCAGGCACATTTTTCCCAGATGTAAAAGAAACAGGGAGTTGTTTGGATTAAAAACAGAGCTTTTGCCCAACAATTCCACATATTTATTATTTTTTTCAAGTTTTTTTCAATCTTGTTAGCCCATATTAGTCCATACATGCTAGACTACAAATACCAGAAGAGTCTGGTGAAGAGGATGTTGGCAAATGATCGAGTATTGCCCAAAAGCACAAGGCAACTTGCTAAAAAGTGGTTGCATAAGAGAAAAAACACCACCAATGATAACCAAAGAACAATGGGAGGCAAGGAAAGGCAACAAAAGCCTAGGTCACCAAAAGAAGAGTCAAATACCTAGGTTGTAGGTTGCAGAGCATTTTTTGACTTCTAGAATTAGACAAGCTCTTTTAATTAAAAGAACCATTTGGAGAAAGAGAGGAGCTGAGAAGGGCAAAAGAAATGTTGAATTTACAAATGTATTTCAGTGACTTGCTGGGTGTCATAAGCTATCACATGAGCATTCCTCACGTGCACTGTCTGCAAAGGCAGAGGCAAGTCAGGCTTAGGGATGCCACAATGGCAAGAGGGCACTTCAGAAGAATTTGGGGAGGAATAGTTGTGACAAAAACTTGCAATGCTTAACTAGATGCAAAGGGATATAAATTATGCATGTAGCTCTGGGATATAGAGACATGGCAGTAACCTACAATTTACAATACTGACAGACCAGAATAAAGATGAAGACCAAAGATAGGCTATGATAAATTATACCTTGTCTCTGGCATTCCAGCAATTCATAGCAGAATAAGCTACATGATAGGACAACAAAGTTCTGGGGTGATCTTTACCCCAGGCTTCACAACACATTTTAGAAAAAGGAAAAGATATAAAGCTTAAGATCTAAGAAAAAAACAAACAAAAAAAACCTTTCAGATAAGTTTAATCTTAAAAAAAACAACAGCTACAAATTGTTTACTTATAGGTATCAACCAAGTTGCTACTGGAAGTAATTTTCAAATTAATCACTGACAAGAAAAATAACATACCACTGATGAATGAATAAGAGTCCACTACAGTTCAATGACTGAGGGTCTGTGAACAATGTAGGAGCCAAGCTAAACTGCAGCATGCAGAAAACCTGCATCTAGTGGCAGAGGTTCAGTATCATAGAATGCCTCAACTCATGAGGTATCCTATGATATCCTATGTTACAACTATAGATTGCATAGATTGTATAGATTCCAGGCCTCAGGAATAGAAGTTGCAGGAGTTCAAATGAGGATTAAGAGAGCAGCTGGAATTAGAACACTTTAAAGAAGTAAAGGGAATACTGAGCTTCATTGAAAGGGGACAGAAAATAATAGAATCATAGAACACCAAGTTGGAAGAGACCTCAAGGATCATATGGTAAAACCTTTTTAGGTAATGCTATAGTTTATAATGAGATAGCTCAGCACCCTGCCAAACTGAGACTGTCCAGCACGGGAGAATCTACCATTCCCTTTCCAGCCTCTTTTGTTGGCATCTTGAATGTATGAATATAGGGTACACTATGCCCAGAAACTGGATTCAGTAGAAGTTACATTTGTGCAAAGCTGCAATCTGCCATTTTTTATCCAACATCATGTATTTTCATCATCCTTTACCTGCTACCAGAGCCAAAACCTAACAATTTTGCAGGAAGTTGGAAGGACTTAACCATTCTAAACTAGGCAGGTCATTTAAAATGATCAGTCACTGACAAGGGACATGCTGGAAGCTTTAGTAAGAGTTGAAGATCTTGCAAAACATTTGGACTGTCTATAAAGATACTGACGTGAGAGATTCAATGAATGCTTCTTGCTTCAGTGGAAGCAATAAGGAAAAAAGTGGCTGTAGCAATAAGTACGAATTGAAAAGGTAAACAGCAGCCTGACTTTATTTGTCTGGCCAGCTAAAAAAAGGCAGCTTTATTCATGATAAACTACACACATATTTAGGGAGGAAAAAAAATTCCAGATTGACTGGGGTGATACAAGTATCACAACAGAAATGAAAACTGAAACACCTTTGAAGACCTTTTATCAAATCAGCATAACTGTGTAAGGGTATCTGCCACAGATTTTCTTTGAAGAACATTAACTCATTGCAAGACTGCTTTATTTTACAAAAGCCTTGGAAGTGCTTGCAAACTTGCCCTAAAAAGACATTTACTAGAGAAATAAAGCAAAACACACATTTTTATGAGCGATAAAAGCATTCTGCATCTATTCATTTAAAAAAAGAAATACATCTTGTATAACTTCATGTTTTCCATCATGAAAACCCAACTCATTAATGAGCAACACACTACTTTTTTCCAAGCAGATAACATATTCCCCAAGATACTGATTGCATAGCATAGAATGGTAAACCTCATTAAAAAAAAGTCTTCACGTATATTCTATGAATTTGGAATTTGTTTCATCAGTCTGTTGTTACCTATGCTTGCAGACAGAGTTCCTTTTTGCTGGGAAAAAAAGGTACACAGCGGTTGTTGCCTTTTTGTCCCCACTTAGTATAAAGTCTTCACATGATCAGCCACCTCCCCCCCGCCCCTTGTTGTTGTTTTTTTTCTTCATGGTACTTATTACATTTTTTTTACTTCAGCAGCTGTTCAGAAAGTAAGAAAAGCCTATATTCACTGGACCACCTGTTTACCAGAGAGGAAAGATATTAACCAACCTTGCAGTCATGAAGAAAGAGAAGAAAAAATGTCTGCTTCTGTAGTGGAAAAAACCTAGATTTTAAAATAGCATTTTTGGTCACAAACAAAACAATGAAAGCAACAATGGTTTTTCTGTGCTCTAGCAGAGACAGTGCCATGGAAGCGAAACTTTCAAGCCTGAACTTAACAGCATATAAATTCCTTACATGCTTACATCTATGGAGAACACTTCCCTGGGAAAGTTACCAGTGAAGAAAATTCCTCTTGCTTAAGAATTTATTTTAGATCTCTCAAATTATTTCTTGCTCTAGCAGTTTTGATTCTAAGCAACTTTTCTCGATCCTCATTATGTGGACTTGAACTTGTGATCTTTTTCCATCTTGCCAAAATTACACTATTTTCTTCTCACTTTTGCTATATTCTTCATAAAATATACTAGAACTGGAGCTGACCTCATGCCTTCTGGCTCTCCCAGTATGTCAAATGTTGTGCCTTCCTTGGCTCAATCAATCTTTGCAGCAAAAAGCAATGGGTGACACAGCACTGTAATCATTATGAACACTTTCAGAGCATTGAAACAGACAGAACGGCACATTGTCAGACTCCTAAGCAGAAGAACCAAAAGCACTGCTACAGCTGCAGGATGAAGTCTTTAGAGCTGCTCCAGTGAAAGCATTCTCTGCCTCTCTGAAAACCTGGAAAAAAACTTAGGTCTGATGGGATGGGAATAGGAAGTTTAAAGAATAAACAGCAATTGGTTAATGTGGAAACAGAGCAATTAGTAATATTCCAAGTATGCAAGCATAACCCAGAATGTCACCTTTTCTTCCATTCAATTATTTACGGCATATGTAGTCGAAACAAAGAAAAAGCACAGCCATTTTCATGTTAGTCCATTGAGGTTTTCTTCTATCAAAACGGAAAGTTTTTCAACCCCCAAAAAATATAATTAAATAATGAATGAAAAAAAACTCTGCAAGACAAAAGACAAATTACCTTTGGTCTGCAGAAGACAGATTGCAAAAGCAGAGAAAATGAAAGCTGTTAACCTCATGTATAATGAACGCGTCTGGAAAGCGCCCAGAGTATGGGCTTCAGTTAGAGACTAATGAGAACAATGCTAGCAAATATTCATATCTGATAATGGTTGTTGATACGTCCTTTTGGGTGCTGGTGGGGAAGACATAGAAGGATGAAACAAAGAGAAAACAGCTTCTAGTTAAAAGAGATAAGTAAGTGTCTATCTCCAGAATACTACAGATCACAGCAATCCTGAGAACCATGCGTTTATGTAGCATAACCAGTATAATTTGTCAATATTATTAAAACACATATAAATATTTTCCACTAAAATAGGCCACCATTTTGTAACAAATGGTGTGATCCAATGAAAGTTCACAATACTTTTGCCTAGTGGCAGTCCAAAGTTTCTGTTGCTCCAGGAAAACAAACCAGGTATGAATTCCATTTTAGTCTGCTCCTGCCACAAAACCAGAAAAATCCAAATATAACAGCACTGTCATGGCACCCCAAGCTACCATGCCTTCTTCCAATTTCTGTTGAAGGCAGAGCACTAACAGAGAGAAGGCTATCACCACTGTTTCCCAGTTACTGTAGGTAAGCAAGGAATCAATCCTATGTTTCTTCCCAAAACACTGTTGACTGCAGACTGTAACAGGCCATTTGCTTCTTTCAAGGATCAATGAAGATTTTTTTCTGGCACAGTACATATGGCAGATAGTACCTCACAGCAAGGCTGCAGGAGACACACATACATCCTCGAACTGCATTTCAAAACAAAACAAAGGCACCTATTTTATTCCAAAACAATACAAAAACAGAAAATGGAGACAAGTCTGACTTGATGTCATCCTATTACAGCAAGACACTATTTTAACACATCCATGTTCTCAGCCTTTTGTGAACCTTATAAGTAAGTTTCCTCAGCCTGTTTTCTCTTTTTGTTTAATATTCTGCAGTTTCCAGTGTGCTTTCCTGAGGCTCATTTACAATGTTCTTCAGCTATGTTTACTCTAGAGGTTAAGAAAGGAATTTTCTTTCAAACAAGGTCCTAACTTCTGACATCCATCAGTCATCTGCAGTGCTAGTTGCATAACTGAGAATTCTCTTGCAGATAAAGCTGTAATGATTTCTGGAGTCTTTAAAATAAGGCAATAATTAAACTTAAAGAACATGGCTTCCACCCGGGAAGCATCCTGTTCTTCAGCTAAAACCAGGCCATAACATGGCATACAGGTCAAGACTGAATGTAACTCTGTTTATACCCTGAGGTCTTCATGGTTAAAAAAAAAATCAATAATAAAATTAACCACTATGGTCTCAAGGCCAGCCTTTTTCCAATACTCAGCTGTTAAAAACTCAGGCTGAAAACTCCTCTAAGTTTGCATCACAACACCACCTAGCAAACAGAAACCACTTCCTTCAACTTTACAAAAAGAACTCCAAGCAGGCAACCATGTAGGCTCTACAGGAAGAAATCCAAGGCTCTATCCAGGTGGACTAAACTTGTAGGGTGACTAAGAGATGTATTTAAAAAAAAAGATATACACTTAGTTTGAGATTCTCTCTCGTGTAACTGCAGGTTTCTCGCATCTTATTAAGAAAGTCTCAAAAGTCACAAGCGAATGAGCTCCAACTGAAACAGAGGCAGCAATGTCCAAAGTAGTGTAAGAAGTATATGGGCATGATTCCACTAACATCCAGTGGGCCACGACCTTTTCATTCTCCTAAGCACTTCTAATTTTCACACTCAAGACTTCATAGTCAACCCAGCTCTATAGAAGAACAAAAAAAAAATATTCCAGCTGAGTGTGACAGCTACCAGACAGGCACAATTGGCTGGGAGTAGAAATGCTGCCTGCTATATACATTAGAAAACAGTAAATTGCCTATTTCCTTGCTAAGATGAAAAAATGTGGCAGAAAATTTATCTGAATGTGTTCACTGGCAGGAAGTAAAGTTCAACTTTATGTCTGAAACGGGTGACTAGGTTGTGTGTCCACAAGTCTAAAGTATATGCATATAATTCACTGGCACCTATTAATATATTTATCTTAAAACACAGATGTAATTTATGGGGTTTTCTACTCTTTCATAACAGATGGTAAATACTTAATTTTAAACAATGCATTTATGACAACAACCTTTGCTACCAAATAACAGCTTTCAAAGCTTGGAATCTGATTGTCATAAGAAAACAAGAATCTACTGCTGCACTTTGACAATACTGCTGACTCCTGGAAACATGCACTATTGCAGTGAGAATCAGTGAAGTGGCCTCTGGTAACCTGCTAGGGTGTTAGTTTATCCTGTCCTCTAAAAAATTGTCTCTACTCTCTGACTACATCAGTGGAGTTTTAAGGACAGATTTTCAGCAAAGTTATATGGTTGGGTCATAGAAACCTGGAGACAGAAAATACTGTTTCTGCTTTCCTTCATGTTTCCCATGGCCTATAACTTTACTAATAGTACAGAGACCTAAGAAGCCATCTGCAACTATGCCACAGAGAATTATAGTTAACATTTTTAGATCTAAGTTTTCTCCTATACCATGGACAAGTAACAACAAATCTAAAAATATTATGATTTCCAACGTCCTTATCCTAGTCCATCTACAAAATTCAGCAGCTGGATATTTTCTGACCTGTTTTTGAATGTAAGTTTCTTCGTGGTTCCTCAGGCCCCTCAATTGGTTGGTCAGCAAGGAAAACTCGTGCCTGGTCCACAGCGTTGAGAATGGTTTGCTCTTTGTCCTTCAGTTCATGCCTCAGTGCCTTTAGGGAAGGGAAAGAAGAAAGCCATTTATAACTTCATCTTGTGAACAACAAAATGCTACATCATTCCTCTGTTTTAATCTCTCTCTACCAGACCTGTCTAATGAGTAATAGACAACATGTCATTCAGAATGAAAGATAAAATGTAAATTTTACAAAACAGAGATGGCAAGAAATTAATTAAGGTTAGAAAGGTAAACTTTATAGAACTGAGTTGAAGAACTAAACACAAGAAAGATGATGTTGGTAGGTTTTTAAAACACTCACCTAACAGAAACAGACACTACTACATTCAACTTCTAAAAAAAAAGTAAAATTAAAGGGTTTATTGCTATTAGAAGAATCACTAATACATAGTAGATTACAGATACTACTAACAGACTTTTTTTTTTTTAGGTAGCTGGAATAACAGAAAACTGAATCTACTGAAACTTCAGAAGATAATCTCACAACTAAATGCTAAACTCCTGCTAAAAATAATTACAGTACTTAGAAAATTCCTTAGAAAATGCTACCTCTTATTTATGTCTCCTATTTACTAATGTTTTTAAGACTTAGGAGATATGTAACCAGCATTTCAATGATGAGAATACATTTTGAAAAAAACAACATTCAAATTAGCCACAAATATTTTGAGTCTTATTACAGAGAAACAGTTAAGTCTTATATACAGAAAAAAATATATATTTTTTTCTTCAAGAGGTTTTTATGCTAATGGAATACTTTGGTGTCCAGTGACTATGGCATTTCAAAATTTTTTTTTTAAGGGTTAGGTGTAACCACTCTTTTTAAAGAAAGTGTTCATAAGCAGTCATGTGTAATGTTTCTTGTAATGCATTTTCTTCCATTAATTTTTTTATGCATAAATCTTTCCCACCTAAAAAAAAAAAACTGCTTTGCATTTTTTACTTAGATTACTTTCTGCCAATACGACACAAAAGAAGATACTTTAAACATTATTAAAATGCTATACCAAAATTTTCCAATCTATTTTTTGGTTGTAATTACAAAATCAAGGCTTATTTTGCTAACACAATCTGCTCAGGCCCCATCAAGAAAACCAGTTAGTGTTCACATTACCTAAATGAGTGAGTGCTTTCCACTACAGAAGATGGTGACAAAAATTACTATGAAAGTCTTGCAATTGCCATCTTATGCTTCTCATCAGAAAGTCTCTTGGTGCCACAAATAAAAAAAACAACACCTAGCTCTTGACTTTAGCCTATGAGGCAAGACATCAGTTTCTGCCCCTTCTCCTCCCCCACTCTATTCCTTTATCTTTCCCCCCAAATCCTTCCATTCCTTCTCACTCTGCTTCTGCTCCAGATTAAATAAAAAATCCCAAACCCAACAAAAACTAATCACTGAGAATATGCTTAACTCCATTAAAGTTAGGAACTTGCACTTTAGAGTCTTATCTTCAGTAACCATTAGCTATTGTCTTTACAAAAAAGCCTCTCCAGAAAGGTGTTATCTCTATGTGCTTTTGTATAGTAATAAGTCCTGTTCTTCGTAGAATTCATTATATATTTCATACGAATTGGAAATTTCAATTTAAAAACCAAGCCCTATTCTGTAAAAAAAAAATAATTAAAAAATAAAGTATTGTAAAAGCAACATTCCTGAAGAATCCCTTCAAATCAGCACAGTATGTATCAATATTTTTATTTCACAGAACACACATTAGCATGCTCTTCAAATTCATCCATATTTTACAAATCGTGAAAACATTCTCTATGCAGGAATTTGTTTCAAGAAAGATGGAAGACAGGAAGCTATTACCATTGCTGTGCAATTAAGGCTCAAAAATCACCCATTTAAAAAGCTTTTGCTTAGCAGAGCCTATGTGGATGTCTTCACTTTAAAATTAAAACTTTTTTTCAGAGAGAGAGGTGTGATTACTTCAGTGTGAAGCAGGAAATCTTTCTAGGATTCTTTTTTCCCCTCAATGCAATTTTCCAAATATTTCCAAAGCATATAGGAAAAAGGAGGCTGTGACAGATTTTGAGCCTACTACAAAATTTCAGCAGTTAGAAATAATCTAGAGATAGATCTCTCTTGCTGTCTCTCTCCTGTTTACTTTCACAGTGTGTTCATCAATTTTGCCAATCATCATCAATAAAACTTAAATCCAGTTAGACCTAAGAGACCTTGGATTAAACTTTATGTCCCCACCACCATCCCTGTCACTGAAGCTGTCCAAATTGAGGTTGACAACACAAAGATTTTAAGACTTTGGCCCATGAAATCTAAGTCATCCCTAGCGTTCCTTATTAATATAACTTGACAAAGAAATCTTCTAACATGAAATAAACCTTGCACATTAAATAATAACATTGAAATAATTTAAGAGTAGAGAAGAGTATCTTCAGCACACCTGAGACTTCTTACATTATGGTTTATACTTTTTTTTTCTTATGCTACAGACACAAAAGTAATTTTTGGAACAGCCACTCAGACTTTATTCCTCACTTCTTAGCAATACTCAGTATATCTCCCTGTCTCTCTCAGCCAGTAAACAAGAAAAGTAAGGAGAGCACATGAAGCAAGAATAACCAAATTTATTAATAATACCCTCTTGTCCTTCTAGGCAAGCCTCTCTGCAACAGAACAAAAAAGAAACCCACTATAAATCTTATCTTGAAATGAAATGTCATCTGGGTGGACTGCAGAAATACTTCATTGAAAAATCACATCTACAGGAACACTACCAAGTAAATCATAAAAAGCCCAGCAAGAAACAAAAAAACCTGCAATATTGATTATTGTATTAAAGATTTTTATACAGTAAGAAGTGCAATCGTTTATTTAGTTTTGTAAAAGATACCTTCCCAATGGCTACTCAGAGTTGATGCTTCTCTTTCACTATGGAAGGATTTAATTGTGTCATTTTATTCCCTCTTGATCGCCATTAAAGATTAGAACAGACAAAGCATTCGTACAGTTTGCAGTGTAGCACAGGTTTGGGTAGAGACAGAATTCTTTCCCTGCAGCTACCTATACTTTTCAGGGAGAGAATTAGGAGCGAATTATTACTAGAGTTTTGGTATAGATTAAATAAATAATAAGTAAAGGTAGGGCAAAAAACTGAGAACCATCTCAAAACTTGTCACTGAAACTGTCCACTGATAAGGTAAACACATATGGATGCAAGCATTTTTTGAGTCCTGCTGGGTATGCAGATGTGAAAGCAAATTGAAAATGTGAATGCTGTGCACATAAATAGCATAATTTATTATTTTTTCCCACAAGTTTCCTACTTTTAAATTTGCATGACCAATGATATGGTCATGCAAAAAGGTATTATATGCAACTTTGTCAGTAATTCACACTACCATATTTCATACTGCAGTTCTAAGTTGCACAATTATTTACACACCAGATAATGTGTTGAAATTCAAGCTTCATCTCCCTCACTAATCTGATAGGTAACAAACTACCAAATCCAACATCTACGCTGCTGAAAGTTTTGTTGCACTGTAAATACATTAATATTTTAATTAATATATTAATATGTAAACCAGGACATGGATTTTTAAATCCCAGAGGAACCATCACTAATTGTTTTAACTCTTGATTGTGGAAACCTAAAATCTGGTGTGCTGATTAAGTGCCAACAGTTTTCAGAGCTGACCTTAAATAGTACTAGCCAAGAATAATTTTTTAAAAATTCCTTTTTGTCACTTGACTATGTCAGAATAACCCAGGACTCCACTAACACAAACCTCTTGGGGAACAGAATGAAGTGTTACCTCCCTGTTTTACAAGTATTAGCCAATTATTTACTCCCCATTTTGATTTGTTCCTCTTTCAGTATGTGTAAATAATGTGTTTTTCCCATTATAACTCTGGAAATTATATACCACTTACTCTTTTACATCAAGATAATAATTTGCCCTTTCTTCATTAGAGATGCTTATGATTTCTAATACAAAAACCTAACTCTTCTTGCAAGCTAAACATTTTTAACTTACTATCCAAATTTATAGACAAGGAATTTGCCTAAACCAAGGACTTGCAAAGTTTCTGTTGAGAATGCTTTGTAGCTAAAGCCTCTTCCACTCTTGAAAAATTAGAAAGTTAGAAAAAATTTTGCTATTAATGATTTTTTACTCTGTTTAGTGCATCCTGTAAGCACGTATTTCCTTCCATTTCATCTTAAAATCATTTTTGAGCACAGTAAGTGGGCTTTCAAAATTATGCACTGTTCATTTACAGCTTCTTTTTTCTTTTTTTCGAATGATACAGGCTTCTCTAGAATAATTCAAGAAACAGACTGGCTTAATAGTTCCAACAGATGAAGGCAAAGATAAATTCAAAGAAAACACATGGGATGTTTCTTAAAACCAGAACACTCTTTCAAGGAAATAAAGATGCACGTTATTGTAACTCATATCAGTTGATCACACTGTAGCTTTATGTGCCAATCAGCAGCTCCTGTAGTCTTTAATTACTTAGTCATTTTATTCTGCAGCCAGAGTTTGAAAAATGTCTGTTTCTTTTATATACTAACATGAAATGGAAAAAAATCATCTGTAGCGTACAATAGGATGAAGAGAATAAGCAGGATGATTGAGAAGACTCAGGAAGAAAAATTTTAAAGAAATCACACCGAGATCAAGGTTATGACTAAGCCTCTGCCAGCTGTCTGCATCGTTAAAGAATCAACCAGAAAGAAAGTGTAGCATGTTTAAAAGCTGTTCCTTCACAACAGACACTATTTAATAAACATAAGGGTGAATTTTCAAAAGTAAGCATTTTGGTTTCTGGATACATCTCTATGTAAAAGTCAGGTTTATAATGTCTCCACCCCAGCTGATACAGAATATATTCAAATAATGAGCAATATCTAATTTGAGATGGCACATCTCACCATGCATTTATCTGTTATTACATCATACTTAATCAATGTGGTGAGATCAATAATGAAGGAGAAAAATGGTGCATAATACTTGCCCATTAACATCTGGAGATACATAGAGACGTGCAGCACATGGGAC